GGTTCTGTATTTCCCATTTTGTAACCCAGACACTTTCAGCTAGAGTTCCTTAAAGAGACAGATTCGCTATTTTAGGGGTTGATTTGGGTCTTGAATATATGTAAATAGGTCCTAAGAAATACTGGAAATCGCATAATTCCTTCAAAAGTATCTCAAACTAGGAATTTCACTTTCTATTTCTATGAATGTCTTTTCTATATATGGCTTAAGAACAGACGGGTCGTCTTTTTTTTACTTTCAAACGCCGGTAATTCCGGACACACGTGGATTTGAAGACTGAAATTTCAACGGTGAGTTGTGAACACTATTACTGATTAGCTTAGCTGAAAAGAATTCGTTTCAGAGATTAAGGAACAATTGGTCAACCTTTAAGAGTGTCTCAAAAAAATTTCCTACAAGCAAAACAATTCCGTTGATTATGTCGTCCAAAGCATGACAAAATCGGGAGTAATAAATGTATACCGGACATTCTCAAACAAGAAATACTATCAGGTGTTTCGTAAGATTCAAAATATGAGATACAATCAGATCAATTCATGCTTAACCAAACAAACCTGCCAAAATGCAAGAAGCAGATTTGTTGTTTTTCTCAGGGAATTCTACAAAACGACCTTAACGTTTCCAACACGACATTTGAAGTTTGTGTGTCATGTAAACCTGCATTTATAAGTGGTCGACCTCTTGCTGGGAAGTTGATTCCAATATAGGCTACCATTATACAACTGAACTCCCACACAACATAGAAAAGAAACTTAAGAATTGGAAATGAAATCTCGATTGATGATAACTGTAAACAGTCAAGATGATTGTATTTTTTATCTGAAAGTTTGAGTTAAGTCAATGCCTGCTGGTTAATAGAAAATCTTCATGATGGAATTAAGAAGTAGCTGATATCGGAGCCAGTCTGGTCCTAGGGCAATGATTTGTGGTTAAGTTGAGAAGAAGATAATTAAAGGATTAAAAGCAATCTGTTTGTGACATAACGCGTTAAGCTTTTTCCTCTCTCATTTACCATTTCACACATAAAATAAAGACCGAGAACACGCGTGCATTTATATTGAAATTGATTTGAAGTTAGGTTTCAAACGATTAAAAAATCTTGAGTATGTCACAGCCCGCCAACAGTTCAAAATTCAATTACTATATATCATATTGATGGCATGGTCTTGACATCTAATGTTGGAATCTCTAATACCAAACTCGACTTTCATTATCTCTGTACTCGAAGATTTGTTAGGCATTCGATCAGAGTTTAGTGCTATCTCGTTCATTTTTTTCTAGATTACCATATGATGCGTTTTATATTGAACGACAGTTTTATCGTTTTAATTACCACAAATCATTGAAGACTATAAAACTCGGGTATTATTACATATTGTAAACTGTCCAAACCTTCAAGTAGAAGAATTAACAATAATGGTTTCTGCTTGACGACAAAATAAAATAGTTGTAGTAATCTATGACTAGCCATTAAACTCCAATGTTCTGTGTTCCTAATGAACCACTGGGTTTGTTCGCTCTCACACAACAATTCATTAAACAGTAACGATAGGAGAATTTAAAACATTGACATGGTCCCAAGTAGAAAAAGAGAGAGGCCCAATATGCTTTCAAGCGAGGTTGCCATTCGACTTATCGACGCTTATTTAAAACTAAAGCTCGACAGGGGAGCAAGACTTCTAGGGGTTCTGGCACCCCCTCCTCCTCATGGCCTAAACTAACTTAACTGTTCAGAGGGGCAAGTACTATATCCGGATGGGCAATGGTATATGATGTTTAGATGTAGTGCAGAATTGGTTACTTGTCAGAATATTTCGGGAGGGTACATTCCTTAACCAACACCCAACCCCGACATTTTCCATTTCGTATCACATTTGTCAAGGAATCGTATCAACAAATAAGCTTCCATCTTTGCACTGCCTATTATGGTTTGATTGATGAGCGCGAGGAAAACATGGAACTTCTAACTTGTGTTTGTATCTCGCTTAATCTCGGGAGACTAGTCAAATCCCGTTAGATGGTAAATTGAAAATCAAATCAGTCTGCAGCTCACATTAAAGTAAATTGAAAGTTGAGATAAAGAAGAAAATAACATTGGAAACAATGGATATTACTCACAGGAGTCTGTATTTGTAGGGAATTTAAGTTAAACCAAGAATCGTACGAATTATTTCTCGATATATAGTTTCTTACATTGAAGATAAAAAAACGATTCTTGAAATGAAAACTATAGCGTGCTAGACATGGTAACATACGATCACTGTGTAAGTTTAAAAGCCATCTGGTTTATGAAAACAGCAAACTGTAATCAGTCAGTAACTTGGCTACCGTCATCTTCGGTCTCGTCCTTGGTTGACCCCTTAACCTATGGGTTCGGGGTAATAATTTCAGATTTTGAAACCCGATATAACCCAGTCACTGATGCAGATGGGCGGGGAGATTAAACTTCAATGAATAAGAAATTTCTAAATAATGCTTTAAAACCAAAAACAAGTTCAATGACGACACCCCTTGCTGGCAAATTTTACCTCATTTCTGCTCTTACTGCTCGTTTTGAAGCATTAAACTATTTCAAGCAGGATAACTCGCACATCGTTCTCAGCAATAAAGTAAAAGTAGAATTCATACCGATCATCATGCCAGATTTACTCAAAATCCTAAAAGAAACGAACAATTTGCTTGCATAAAGCTACGAATGGGGCGGTGTGGCGTAGAATTCTGAGGTATGCTTTCTGTTCTGGAAAGTAAATACGGCGTCCGTCATCGTGTGCGTGATCGTAGGATTTGTAATTTCCGCATATTGACGAATTCCAGCACGGGTTGTATGACGTATAGACTATATCCAGTAAATTCTTTCCCAGATAGTTATTTTGCTACAACTTCGTACACAACATACGGAAACAGTTCTCCGTCTGTACGCACCATACCGATACCGAGAGATAGTCCCGGGGTATATTATTTGCATTTAAAATCTAGAGGGCAGTGAGATAATGACTTCATTTGTATCAATCGTAATACAATCATGCTGTCTGTAGTTGTTCAGGTCGCGTGTTGGAGAAAGCTGCTCTTAATCAGTTCACAAAACAAACGTACAAAAGTCACTTCCTAACTATCAGTGATGCCTTCACACTGATTTAATTTGCTCTATCCTGTTGGCCGATAATTACTTTTATTTCTAATCAAGTTTGAGAGCAAGAGAGACGCTTCAAGCCTCGGATTAGACGCCAACCACTCGTCAACAGCCACAAATAAGGCTTCCAACAAGCAAATTGAGTTAAGCGATTCTATAGAAGTTGGAAATTCGAAATGGAGTAAATTGGACTGCGAGTGGCAAAAACTAGAAGGGAAATGTAAATGATATTTGAATCAAGATGATTAAATTAAAGGAGAGATGAAACTGTTCAATTCAATCAGGTGATCATTTGAAAGCAATCAATTGTAATGTAGGAGATAAGGTGATAGATGGCTCTCAACTTTGATCAGATCAACTGACGTCCATGATAAAATACCAAGACAAAATTCCATTTCTTTATTTTACTTTTCTTATATGATCGAGAGTATCGTCTTCAATCCATTGGAACTGTTGTCTAAACCTTTGAAATAGCTGTAGAGTAATATTTCTAGGTATAAGAGGGTCTTAGTTGTGTAGGCAGGCTGAACTGGATGGTTTGCTTCTTAAATTAATGGAATTTGGGTATCCGACAGCAATCGGCAATCCTTGGTGAATTTCTTTGTATTTCTTGAAGTCATGAACGGTTCATAGTTCCGGTTAATAATGGCTGCCATTCATTACCAGTACCGGTATATTATTATGTTGCAGAGCGATAGCTGAATCTTCACGATAGGCCGTTTGATCTGATATTTGAACGTCTTGTTGATATAGTCTCTAACAACCAGATATATTTCGTCGAAGCTGAGGCTAATATGTTATAAACCTTTCTTCAGAATGGAGAGTCGTCATTTTTTCTTTCAAACACGGATAATTCTGGATACACATGGCCAAGAAGTCTCAAATTTCGACGGTAAATTTTTGAATATTATGACCGATTAGCTTATCCTAACAATCCTCGTTTATGATAGGACCGTGCCTTTTAAAATTGCAAGATTTCTTTGTGAGAAAGGGGACATCACCCTTATTAAAATAGTAGATGCTACAGTCCACAACAAATTTTTTGACAACTTTGAGGCCGAGTTGGACTGCTTATTTTCTAATATTGGACGAGGAAAAACCATACAATACGTATCCATATAGACCAGGAAATTATGCAGTTGATCGCCCCGATAACATCAAATTTTATTTTTATTTTTATATTCAAATGTATACAGGAAGCAAATAGGCAAGAATAAACATTGGATAGGCCTATAATATGGACATACAATTTCAAATAGGTTTCATTCATGGTTGATAACAGTTTTAGCAACTTTTGTGCAAATCATGCAAGAATTTACCTTCTAAAGTGCATACAAGCAATTGTAGACGGTTGGTCTTACCGGATCGACAGACATTGTATTAGTGACGACAATATACATTTGACTTGGGCATATACAAAAAACTGCAATAAGCCTTTATATACTGCTATAAGCTAAAAAATTTCAAGTAAAACAAGATCACATGAAGATATACACTAGTCCAAGGATTTGTCATATTATCGTTCGGATGTTATTGTTTTCCTGAAGGTCACAGTTTTGTTTATATCTGTTAATTCTTATTTTTGCCATTGTTTCATTACAATTTAACTTGGCATTAGAATTACACAGTTAAGAGCTCCGTTGGAAAACTTATTTAGTTTCATCCTTCGATCATTGATTGATATTCACATTCAGCCTAACTTAGAATAAAAGTGTTGATCTTTATACCCACTTGAATTTGAATATTGTTCAGAGTCTTCTAAAGTTGTTATTTCACAGTGACCATTGAGACATGTATGCCGTAGATACGGATCAAATGTAGTAGCGACTTGAAGGTAATCACAGTCCTCCGTGGGGCCCCTTTCTGTGCAATTGCTATGTAGTGGGTCTGGTTCCATGCTATTACTATCTAATGAATCTGCTTCTATGTTGTGGCTATTTAACGGGTCTGTATCTATGCGATTGCTATCTCGTGTGTCTCTTACTATGCGACTGCTATCGAGTGTGTCTCTTACTATGCGACTGCTATCGAGTGTGTCTCTTACTATGAGATTGCTATCTAGTGGGTCTGCTTCTATGTTGTTGCTATCTAGTGTGTCTCTTACTATGCGACTGATATCGAGTGTGTCTCTTACTATGAGATTGCTATCTAGTGGGTCTGCTTCTATGTTGTTGCTATCTAGCGGATCTGTTTCTATGCTACTATCTAGTGGGGTTGCTTCCATACCATTGCTATCAAGTGTGACTTCCTCTGTACTATTGCTATGTAATACGGTTGATTCCATGCCATTGCCATGTGGGGCTTCCTCAATTTCATCGTAGGTATAAGATGCAGTATTGTATGTCTTCTCGAGAGCAACATTCTTAAAATAGTAAAACACGATGCCATCATATTGTTATTTTCGTTCTGTCAATAGGGTAAAGTTTCCTGGGAGGTATTTCAACGAATGTTAGCTGCTGGTGGAATCAAGGAAGTTCTGATCAATTGCAGGTTTTAGTTGAACGACTATTGGCAAATCGAATCGTAGTTGCAGCCAATCGCAAGGTTCTTAGCAGAAATTAGAAATTGGATCTTGCAGTTGATCTGAGAGATCAGAATCTGCATGACCACTTTAGTTGGAAAAAACTCTCTAACAATGGGCAACAATTATATCGTGTGGTATGGGCACGGATTTTCGATTTCAGCTTATCTATGTATATCTTAATTTTGTTAAATTACATATTGCCCTCTAAACAATTTATTTCTCCTTGGTAAATTTAATGTTAACAAAATGCTTACCTTGACAACATAGCTGCGTTTACATCCACGACGTATTTTACATACACTGAAAAACAAACAACGTTTGATATATTTCAAATATAAGGACCTGAATGCAGCATCGAATGGCACTTTTGAAACACAGAATGCAACAATGACGATATGTTGTAAAAAAGCCATATTCAAACACGTTAAGGGGAGATAGTCGGGGATGGTGCCTGGATGGTGGGACTATGCTCCATAAGACAGAATCTGGACACATCTTTGTCAACAAGACTGCAAGACAGGCTAATGTCAACCTGACGGCAGGTAATATCTGAGATCAACTCGATGTTCAACGACAGCTGGCAACAGGCGACAAGTAGAATCAGATCAGCAGGATTTAGTCGACTTGATTCCAACCCATGTTTAAATGTACGGTGCTTACCAGATACACACGACAGGTACAAATAATAACAGGAACAGTGCGATAAGTAGAGAAATTGCTTTATAGTTTACCTCTGTTTCTGTAAATATACAATATAAAAATACTATTTCAAAATTTAAAGGGCTATTAAAGAGGTTTTCTATCCTCTTTATGTGTATCTGGGACACTTTTGACTTCTATTTGTGAATACTCTTTAGTTAGAAATGCCGCCATCTTGTAAGGGGAGATAACACTTATTATTATGTTATTGTGATCTGGTGGTAGGTTGGTAGGTTTTGCGGGATCTGCGTCAATTCCGGTTAACTTTTTCTAGAACCACAGGCATCGGACGAAGAATTGGAATGTCCCAAATAGAAATCAAAAGGGTCCCGGACACACATAAAAAGACTAGAAAACCGCTTTACAATCCATTTGAAGGTATATGCATGTTCACAATGGTCACGGTATTACGTTTTTCCTTTCCTGTTTCAAGAAGCGATTTTATTGGATTGTTCACCAGTGAATACAACCATTCGGAGCCCACGATAACATGCACACAGTTTAAATTATTTCTGTCTAGGGCACTGATTGGCTGTATTTAGTAGCGTACAATCCAATCGGATCACTGAATTTACAAATGTCCGCAATCCAATGAAGGTGGCTATTACAGTCAAGACACAGTTCGTAATAGCTTGACATTGTGAAAATGGATTCCAACGTGCACTTTTAATGAGTTGTGTTCATCTAAATACCATTCACGCTTTACCTGTTACTATTGGAGACGTTGTGATGTTTTTCATTACCCAATCACTGGAATCTACTTCAGTAATGGTTTTCAAACACAGCAGATATTTTGTACCAGAGTTTAAACCTTCTATGGTATGCTGAGTTTGCTCTCTTGATACGTTTACTGTTTTTCCTGTAAGCGTAAAAAGGCAATTTCAAAACAAAGAGCTATGCCTCTCCAGTTTTTTCATGAGACTTATACACCAATACAGATGAAATTAAATGACAACTACCAAAAGATTTGATTAATATGAGTTAATCTAAATGTACTTAATCCGCTCTAATTCTAGCCATACTTCTTACAAAGATTTTGAAGTGGCGGCTTAATTAGGAGTACTAGGACCAGAAAATTAATTTATACCCCCAATTGTACCCCCACTTCATTCAGAAATTTCAAAATATGATTTCTATACGATTTTCAAACTCAAACAAACTCTCTCAGATCCTATCCGGGAGAATCTCTCAACTTAAGTCAGTTGTTCCCCCATTTAACAGTCTGCTTCCTATTGTAACCCCCGTTCCAGAAGACTTGCGCTGTCACTGGTATAATGACAAAAAAGTTGAACGTTCTTGAGATTCTTGATATCCCGAAAAAGTTAAAAGAGGTATCCCAGCCGACTGACGACTTCAGAAATGAAATGAATGGAGTTTTACGCCCTACTTTTCTGCACCGTGTTGGCTAATGAGAGAGTTTTTAATTCCTACCTTCTCCACAGTCGGTTGTATGGTATTGATATTGGTGGTATGAAAGCTGAAATATGGTTGGACGAGATTTGGTACGTCCACATATCCGTTGCCATTTCACTGAAATACTATCAACATCTGCACTGACAGACAATACAGGTTCTGCTGCATCTACAAAGGTATACAGGAGACATTGAAGATCCTTCGGGGATATGTATGTTTTGGACACGATTTCACAAAATAAAAAGAAATGTGTAGTATGGAAGGCAATGTGTGCCGACAATGCAAATCAAAATTACCACAGAAAGAAAAAAATAATATGGGTCCTGCTGAATCTACAAGGGTACAAGTCATTGAAGAAGCTTTGGCGAATGGGGTCATGGTTTGGACACAGGCCCGTGGCTACAGAGGGCAATGCTCCTTGACATGGTCTCTTGGGGGCACAACGTCTGAAAGTCATGATTTTGGAGAAAAAAAAAACATATATACCTCCAAAGTAATTAAAATAACAAACACTCCATATCAGGCCATTGCTGGTAGTATTGGTGTTCATGGAAACAGCAAAGTAAATTTCACAATCTTTACATCGTCCAGATAAGGTTTCTGGTATGGTTACCAGAGCCCCGTTTCCATTGTTATTGAAAAATGGGGTTCTTAAAGCAGTCTGAAAGAAAATACGCACACGAAATGAATTATGTTCTATTATCTCTGTTTATAATATAAAAGAAATAAAAAAAATCGAAATCGTACTTTCAGTGAAAAAATACACAAAAATGTTTAGAAAACCTCTGTGCATGCACTTTAAAAACTTTCTTTGAAATTTTACAACGCTGTTAAATGTAGCTCTGGCTGTCAGAAAAGGACAGTGTCCACAAACACCAGCATCACCCCAGAAGAAAAAGATAATGCTTACGAGACATTGGACAATAGGGATTGATGGCGGCAGGCGACCTTCACAGTAATATATCTTAATATTGCTGTTGGGTTGATGGTTATTTAATTTCTCCCATGTTAGATTATAACTAGTATCATTCCACTTTTCTACTATTACATCAGTAACTACCACCGACGCTGAAATGATTGCCGGTAGGAAGCAGTTTATTGTTACGGGGAGGGGGAAGGGGGTATTTCTTGCTTGAAACAATTAAAATACCGAACTGTGGCCGAAACAATTCGGATAAACAAGAAATGTTTTTAATCATTGCCTCTTATGTTTGAAATTTTTCAAAACATTGAACTTTCCTGTCACGTAACAAGACTGCAATTTGTTAGGTTAAGTTATCGTTCGTTGGTAAATGACAAGTTAGCGTCCGCTTCCAGCAGATGCCGATATCGCAGACTGGGTAGTTGTTGGTAGTCATTGTTGTTTGGTTCAATTGGAAGATTCTGCACTGTTTGTTTGGTACTTCAGAGGTAAAGTCTATATAATAAATACTAATAAATACAAACACGCACCATTCTCTTCTGTTGGTATAACTAATGTTGAGGTTGGAGAAGATCCAGCCTTTGTCTTAGCTTGAACATGAACAGTTATTTCTCCAGGAGGCAGGTCCATTGTCATTGATCTTACATTCCCTTGTATCCAATGGGGTTCGTCCAATGGTAGTATTGTTACGATGTAGTTTAGTATCGGACCCCCTTGTTTATCTAACTTGTAATCCTGAAACAATTTGAAACATTTTCTCGACGTTATCGACCCGGCTTCAGTAAAACAGATTGATGGATCTGATATATTCAATCGTCTAGTCGGATGGAGCAACAAAGCGAGACCCCTTGAGCAAATTGCAAACTGAAAAACAATGCCCGTCTTCTATGGCTCATTTGGAGCAGTAAGACTGCGTATAAAGAACATTACAACCGTTGAAATTCAACTTTGAATAATATTAATATGACAATTTCTATGAAATGTCACTATAAGCGATCGTAAATCAGTCTTTGATAGCTTGAAAGATATCGTCTGGTTATTCATTTTGTCTATGGTCTACCAGGAGGAAGTTCAGAATACTAGAAGTATTATAGTAACAGTAACAGCCCTTTCCTACCATTTTAAGCATACTACGTACCTGCCAGTAAACAGCTACTGTTCTAGAACCATCAGGGTTTAATACCGCGGAGTAATAATCCTCTAGAATCCCTGGTCCATTTTTTGGCGCTAAAGATATAATAAATGATCAGAAGTAATATTTCATTCTGGACAATTGAAGGTAATATTGTTTACATTTACGTGGTATCCCCTGCAGGCAAACAGGGTTTAATACTGCGCAGTCTGCGTTGTTGATGATTAATCCAAAATGAATCAGCCCTGTCCCGTAGGGAACCTTCCCAGATTAAATGGTATATAAGTACCTGTAATAGGAGTTGTAATATGTATCTTGGCTTCATCACTCCAGTAACCATCATTTACCGGTTTACACGTAACTTTTACAGTGTATCTGGTATAGGGAACCAAATCGTTTACTGACACTAATAGGTCTTGCTCAGAACAGTCGGGTTCGATCTGAAACAGACCAGTTAATGATGATATGATACCATATGATAATGCACGACTCAAAAACCAGAAATCACTAAATTTTACCGGAAGTACACCTTAAATATCATCTTCACAATGTCAAGATATCACGATTTGATTAGATTTATTCTTCCCTCTGGTT